ACAATCCAGCAATACATCTGCGCCCTGGCATGTACTGCACGCCCCACGTGCAGTGCAAAGCACAAATCTATCGCACCAAATCTATTGCGCCACCCCCTTGTCGCTGGACCCCCTTCTGGGTCAGCCCGACCAGGGCGCGCCTGGCCGGGACCGCCGTGGGCGCAAGTACAGGTTCGGAGGGGGGCGAAGGCCCCTGAGATCCGACGCTCCAACAAAAATTGGAGCAGGCGGAAGTCTGCCGTTTGCGGCCTCTGGGGGCCCTCGCCGGGCGTCGAGAGCGTCCAAAAACTGCTCAGGACGAAAAACCAGCCCTAGAGAAGTGGTCCGGACCTCCGGGGCCCACGCATCGAAAAAATTGGAGCAGCTTGATGTCTGGCGGGGTAGGATGGCAAAGGGCAGGGTAGAGAATCACCGCACGCAGCTGGTTTTCATGGCGCCCCTTGGCGCCGGGAGGCGCCCATGTCGGCACGTATGGCCTGGGCCCGGGGCACGCTTGACATGGACTGCCGTGGGTGTACAGCTTCTGGGGGGGGGGGGGGCGAAGGCGTAAGACGAAGCCAGGACGAGAAGAAATTCGGGTGAGGGTACATCGAGAATCTCTGAGATCGGGCGGCTCTAAAGGATTTATCGGGCGCCGCGGCCTTCTCAGAGCATTCAGGGGCGCTCCGGGAGCTCTCTGGAAGGCTCTGGAACGGATTGGTCCTCGTCCCTGCCCCGCCCGAAAGGGGTCGGACGGCAAAGGCGAGGGCAGAGGATCCGCTCATGCAGTTGGTGTTCCTGGCCCCCCTTGGCGCCGGGAGGCGCCCATGCATCGAGGAAGGGGCCCCGCGGCGGAGCGGAAACCAGCTGCATGCAGCCACTGGGGCCCTCGGTGGAGCTCTCCCTGTGGGGCCACGAAGCGCTGCCCAGGGTGGGGGGAACGCATGCGAGAGCAGCCACTGGGGCCCTCGGTGGAGCTCCCCATGGGGCCACGAAGCGCTGCCCAGGGTGGGGGAAACGCATGCGAGAGCAGCCACTGAAGCCTTCGGTGGAGCTCCCTGTGGGGCCACGAAGCGCTGCCCAGGGCGGGGGGAACGCATGCGAGAGCAGCCACTGGGGCCTTCGGTGGAGCTCCCTATGGGGCCACGAAGCGCTGCCCAGGGTGGGGGAAACGCATGCGAGAGCAACCCCCCCTTCCTCGATCCCCCACCTTCCGTGCGGCCCGATAGTTGGCACCTCCCAGTGTAGAAAGATCTTTGCACGGGACTTCTCGAGACCCGTCTTCTGTCTGGAGACAGCGCAGCCGCCCGACATAGATAATCATGGCTAACGGAAGAGACCACATGGCCTCCAATGCTGTAACCGACCACGGGCGACAATAATCACCGGGGGATAAGAAAGTTCGGGGTTATGGCGGGGATACTCAAGGATTTTCCCGGGGAAGGTAAGCTATGATGACGATGGTGATGATGATGGTGATGATGATGCTGATGATGATGATGATGATGATGATGATGATCGTGAGTATGATGATGGTGGTCCTGGGCGCTCGGCACAAAACTGACTCGAGAGATCTCGAGGCTCGTGGCTATACAACTTGCCAGCAGGCGCTCGGCACAAGGCTGACTCGAGAGATTGCGAGGCTCGTGGCTATACAACTTACCAGCAGGCGCTCGGCACAACGCTGACTCGAGAGATCTCGAGGGTCGTGGCTGTACAACTTGCCAGCAGGCGCTCAGCAGAAGGCTGACTCGAGAGATGCGCCAAAAAGTAATTAGCTCCAATGCTCTTCTACCTGCTCGGAAAACGCATGTACAATCAAAATCCAATCGTCCCCATGGCCCTGCCACACGTTCCTGACTGGGGAACGGCTGAGAAAATGAGAATCCCATGGCCCTGCCGCACGTTCGTAACTTGGGCAAGCTGAACTGGTGAGAATCCCACAGCCCTGCAACACGCTCGTGACTGCGGACGCCGGTGTGGTGAGACCACCATGGCCATGCTCAGCGTTTTTGATGCTGTTGCTAATCAGCATGAGATGATAGTAACTTCGATTCGCAACTTCCCCCGTGGATTATAAAGTTCGGCCTCCGCGCCTATCTCCACTATGAAATCCTGTCGGACGGGGATCAAAACAATAGAGGGGGTTAAGGGGGCATTAATTATTATCGCCCGTGGTCGGTTGAAGCTGCATCCGAGTTTACAAGGAGGGCCAAGAGAGCGAGGAGTGGGCAGCGCTGCTGCCAAGATCGACGGCGCCTCGAGCCCCACCTCTCCCTCGGAACTCCCAGGACCATCCATGCGCGGGACCCCCATGGGCTAGGCCGACATGGGCGGGTCCTGGAGGGCCGACAGCGGAGCGAATGCGCCCCTCGGGACACCTTCGCGACGCACCCAAAACCCCCGGCTCAGACCGAGATCCAAAATGATCCCCCGACCACTGGGCACGATCCCAGCCCCCGTTTCGCGACCAGGGCCAGGCTGTGGCGGAGCAGGGAGGCCCAAAAAAGTTCCGCAGGGGAGGCTTCGGCGGGTTCCGCTTTTGGGAGGAGAACGGACGAAGGAGGAGGAGGAGGAGGAGGAGGAGGAGGAGGAGGAGGAGGAGGAGGAGGAGGAGGAGGAGGGAGGAGGAGGAGGAGGAGGAGGAGGAGGAGGAGGAGAGAGGAAGATGGAGGAGGAGGGAGAGGGGAGAGAGGAGGCAGGAGAGGGAGGGAGGGAGGAGGGAGGACCCCCGAGGCAGGAGGTAGAAGGCAGGAGGAGCGAGCGAGCGAGCGAACTCCTGAAGCTCGTCCTTGGCGGCGGCGGCGTCCGCGTCCGCCACCTCCGCGGCCTGCTGCGCGGCCCGCAGGGTCGCATCGGCCTCCGCCTGCTCCCTCTCGGCGGCCGCGACCGCCTCCTCCGAGCGGGCCGAGATGCCACGGAGGCAGGGGCGGGGAGGAGGGGGAGGAGGAGGAGGAGGAGGAGGAGGAGGAGGAGGAGGAGGAGGAGGAGGAGGAGGAGGAGGAGGGACGGAGGGAGGAAGGAATGGAGAGAGGCGGAGGAGGATGAGGATGAGGCGATGAGGAGGAGGAGGAGAGGAGAGGAGGAGGAGGAGGAGGAGGAGGAGGAGGAGGAGGAGGAGGAGGAGGGAGGAGGAGGGAGGAGGAGGGAGAGGAGGCGGGGGAGGAAGGAGGGGGGAGGGAGGAGGGAGGAGGCGGAGGACCAGCGTAAACGCAAGACGCATCAACGATGTTGCAACACACCCTCCCTACAAGTTCCCTATTGACAGGTCCCTGCCACAGTTTGTCTCCATTGCGGGAGGGGCCATGACATCAGCGCCGCGAATCAACGTGACTGTTGCGCCCTGACAAGACCACTCGTGGGACATCAACACCGCAAATCAAACTGACGGTTGCGCCCTGAGGCTCCTAAACTGTGCAAGAAAGCCATCCGAACCCTTGAAACTGCTGCAAACTGTGCATGTGCGCAGCGCTAGAAAGCGAGAGTCAGAGTTTGGGAAGGAACCGCCCTCCATCACTGAAGTTGCTGCAAACTATGAAGACGTATGCGCTCGGCGTCAATGGCAGAGCCACATGTTGAAAAGGAACAGCCCTTCATCCCAGACGCTGCTGCAAACGTTTAACACGAATATGCGCGGCGCGAAGGCGAGAGTCACAGTTTGAAAACGGACCACCCTCCATCCGCAAAACTGTTGCAAATTCCAAGCTTTAACATCATAAATGATGGGGAAGTCTCAAGCGAAACGCCCGGCCCGCCATACCGTCAAGCCTAAGGGCGCGACAGGGAGGAGCTACTCCCAAGGAAAAGGAATGGAGGAATGAGGAGTGGGAAGGGGGAGGAGGAGGAGGAGGAGGAGGAGGAGGAGGAGGAGGAGGAAGAGGAGGAGGAAGAGGAGGAAGAGGAGGAGGAGGAGGAGGACAACGACGACGACGACGACAAGGAGGGGAGGGGAGGGCAAGCGGGGAAGGAAGGAGGCAGGAGGGCCGAGGCACGAGAGAGGAGTAGGCAGCGGGGGACGGGGAAGAGGGGGCAGGCAAGAAGGAACATCTTGGAGCGTTTCGGCCATGCCCGAAGGGGCCGAGCCGCACCCCGCGACGCATGCCCGCACCCCCAGGCCAGGCACCGAAGCACCCGACCTGACAGACCCCCGCGCCGATCCTTCGCCGCCTCGAGGGCTGCCTTCTTCGCGGCCACGTCGGCGCTGGCGGCCTCCAGGGTGTTCTTGCAGGTGCAGTACTCGCTCGCGAGCTTGGTAACCTCGTCTTCGTTGTCGTGGCCGTCGTCGTCGTCGTCGTCGTCGTCGTCGTCGTCGTCGTCGTCGTCGTCGTCGTCGTCTACGTCGTCGTCGTCGTCGTCGTCGTCGTCGTCGTCGTCGTCGTCGTCGTCGTCGTCGTCGTCGTCGTCGTCCGCCTGTCGTCGTCGTCGTCGTCGCCCGTCTGTCGTCGGTCGTCGAGCACCTTCTCCATGGCGGCGTCAACACTGTCCTTCTTGGCTTTCTCGATGCCGTCGAGCACGGCAGAAACCATCGCCATGAACTGCTCCTCCCCAGGTCTCTATCCCTCCATCCCTGCGCTCCTCCCGCCCGCAGCAATCCCTCAACATCTGATCTGCATTCTCACCCCCGCGGCCCTCTCCTCTCGTCCTCTCCCCTCTTTGCTCGAACCCTTCCCTTGGGAAATGGCACGATGGTTGGACTTCTGCAGGAAAAAGTCCTAATCCCCTCTCCCCCCATCTGCCCTCTCCCCCCGCATTACTTCTCCGTTCACTCTGCCCTTATCTTCTCTGCCTGTCTATTTGAGGAGGAGGAGGAGGAGGAGGAGGAGGAGGGAGAAGGGAAGGGGCAGGGAAGAAGGAGAAGGAGGAGGTGGACGACGTGAACGAGGCGACGAAGACGAGGATAGGGGCAAGGAGGAGAAGGGAGGGAGGAAGAGGAGAGAGAATGCGGAGACTCGATGAGCAACGCAATCGAGTAACTGAATTGCTGAGCGAACGCGCAGGGGAAAAAAGGCATAAAGGCAAGGAGGGGAAGCAGGAAAGAAGTTCCGCGTACCCTCGTTCGATCATGTACCCGACCCCCAACTGGAGCCGAAGGTGGAGACCCCCATGGGGCACCGAGCGCGCGATCCGTGCGAGGGGCGTGCCGAGACGGAGATGCGCGCAGCACGCTGCAGCAGCAGCAGAGATGCCGGCAGCGCAGCAGCGGCTGCTGCAGCGGCTCGGCAGCGCAGCAGCAGCCGCAGCAACAGCAGCGGCTGCAAGAGCAATGGCAGAGCAGCAGCATGCAGCAGGCAGCTCGGCGACAGCGGCACGAGGAAGGTGGGGTGGTAAGGGGGAGGCGGGAGACACGCAGCGGTGAGAAAAGCATGACCCAGAACCCCAGCAACCTCCCTTTTCGTTCCTCCTCCTCCTCCTCCTCCTCCTCCTCCTCCTTCTCCTCCTCCCCCTCCTCCTGCCCCCTCTGGATGCGTAGAGGGAGAACAGAACTGCGTGTAAGTTTAGTGCAAGGGGCCTTTCGCGCTCCTGCCGGAGCGCTCCCCTGCCAAACGTCTATACATGCGACGGCATGGCAGCAATGAGCTCACTGACGGCACACAAATTTGGAGGCAGACATGTCCTAAAACAATCATGCTTTAAAATCGTTGCCCCGCCCTCCCCTACTCCCTCCCTCTCCGTCTCCGGCCCCCTCCCCTCCTGGTACTTGCTGCGCTCCTCCTTGCAACTGCCCATGATGGTATCCATGTTGCGGCACAGCATGCCCAGAGCGGTCTGCGAATAGCCCTCCGCGCCAGCTATTGCCATCTTGATGCCTGCCATCCAATCCAAAATACGAGCAGGAGAAGAAGGAAGAGAAGGAGGAGGGAGGAGGAGGAAAGGGGTGAGGAGGGAGAATAGGGAGGAGGAAGACGACGACAGGGGGGGAGAATGAGAGGGGCAAGGAAGAAAAGGAGTCAGGAGAAAAAAGGGATGGGAGAAGAAGCGTTTTACGCAGAAGCGTTTCGCTATTTCTCCCGTGGGGCGGTATGCGGGTAACCTCGTTGGAGGAGCAAGAGAACGAGGAGAAAGAAGACAGGGAGGGAGGGAGGGAGGGGAGGGAGGAGGAGGTGGTGGATGAGGAGGGCGCGGGAGAGCAAGAGAGAGAGAGGGGTTGGGGACAAGCTAGGTGCGTTCATGCCACTGATGACATCCTATCCCTCCTGCCCAGCCCTCCCCATTGCTCTGATGTTTGTTGTTCGCCGATGGGTGTTATGGCGGACGTGGAACCCTCGAAAGGACCCCATCATGGTATGCGCTATCAGACAAGGGAGCTGTGTGCAATGGAGGGAGCGCGTTCATTTATTTTCGGCGATGGCGAGCGGCATGGGGGGGGGGGGGCGGGGGGAGGGTTTGATATAACGCCCCCCCCCGCCGTGTTGCTCCGGCACCACAGACGCGCCCGCGCGCACGACGACGATGAGCGACGAGCGACGAGCGACGAGCGACGACGACGACGACGACGACGACGACGACGACGACGACGACGAAGACGAGGACGCGAGCATCAGGTAGGTGGCGATCTGCCCCTCCGCTCCTGTGTACACCACAATGCTCGCGTGCACCACAGCGCGCGTGTACACAACAGCACCCGAGTACACCGCAACAGCCGTGTGCAACGCAGCGCCTGTGTACACCACAGCGCTCGCGTGCAATACAGCGCCCGTGTACACCACAGCGCATGTGTACACTGCAGCAACCATGTGCAACACAGCACCTGTGTACACCACAGTGCTTGCGTGCACCGCAGCGCACGTGCACACTACATCGCCTGTCTACACCACAGCATCCGCGTGCAACGCAGCGCTGGTGTACACCACAGCGCCTGCGTACACAGGACAGGTAAACGGAGCAAGTTTGTGAGGATCTGCTGCGGACAGCTAAACGCCATGCCAGGGAATCGCTGATAATAGAATGCGACGTTCGTCCGTCCACCCTCCTCCACCACCTTCTCCTCCTCCTTCTCCTCCTCCTCCTCCTCCCTCACCCTTCCCCCCTATCGTGCGGGTCGGCGCTGCAGCGCACGTGCGCATCTCAGCGTGCGCCGCTGAATGGTCTACTGAACCAGCCCAATTGGTTCTCGGACGGTCAATTTAGCTGGGGCCATGAGAGGAATTAGGATGATGCGGGCGGACTCGGGAGGACTCGTAGATTCCAGCGGCGCTCCTTTTTCCTTTTTCCATAAGGATTCCTTTCCGAATCCTATACCAAAAAATGTGTTCTGTGGAATCCAGAGGCGCTCCATTTTGTCATAAGGATTATTTCCATCATTGTGTATGCAACAGTGGTACTCTGTTGCACACAGTTGCTCAGGAGCACACAGGCGCCGTGGTGCACACAGGCGCTGTAGTGCACGCAGGCATTGTGGTGTACACTGGTGCTGTGTTGCACACGGCTGATGTGGTGTACGCAAGCGCCGTGGTGTACACAAGCGCTATGGTGCACGCAGGCACTGTGGCACACACTGGCGCTGTGTTGCACGCGGCTGCTGTGGTGTACACAGGCGGTGTGGTGTACACAGGCGCTGTGGTGCACGGAGACAATGTGGTGTACGCAGGCAATGTGGTGTACACAGGCGTTGTGGTGCAGATCGCCACCTACACGCTGTTGCTACCCGTCCCCGGCCATTCCTAAGCATTCCCAGACGCCGCCGGCGCGAAACGTGACGTCATCGGCCCCCTCCATCACCCCCCCGATGATTGCCGTCACCAGCCCGGAATAAAAACCATGCTCCCACCGCGCTCGCGCGAACGACGACGATGAGCGACGAGCGACGAGCGACGAGCGACGAGCGACGAGCGACGACGACGACGACGACGATGACGACAACGACAACGACAACGACGACGATGACGACGATGACGACGACGACGACGACGACGACGACGACAACGACGACGACTGTGGACCAGACTCCCATGCGGATTCCTATGCGGACACCTATGCGGATCCCGATGCGCACGGCGGCAGTGCCGAGAGCGCCCGGGGGGGGGGGTTACGTCATGGGTGGGGGGGCGGGCGGCAGGGGCCATGACGCCCGTCATGCTCCAAGCAACAAAGAAACACGCTCAGGAGGGGGTGACGGACGGGCAAGAGGATGAGCAGGAGAAAGGGGGGTGAGGATGAGGAAGAATGAGGACGAGGAAGAACAGCAGCAGCAGGAGCAGGAGCACGAGGAACGGGAGGAGCAGGAGGACCAATGGAAGGCGGAGGAAGGGAGATCTCGCCCCTCGGAAGCTACCCCCCCCCTTTTTGCGCTCCAGAAACTGCCGCCCCCCCCCCCCCCTTTCCAAAGGGGGGGTTTAGCTACCCCCCCCCCTGGACCTCCCCTGCCAGAAGCTCCCACCCCCTCCTTTTCTCCGCCCCTCGGGAGCTTCCCCCCCCTCCTTGGCGCTCGGGAGGCTACCCCCCCCCTCCCTTTTCCCAAAAGGGGGGGGGGGCTTCGCTACCCACCCACCCTTTTGGACCTCCCCTGCTGGAGGCCCCCCCCCCTTCTTGTTTTTGTTTCTGGGATCTTCGGTGGAGCTCCCCATGGGCTATGGGGCCACGAAGCATTGTATTGAGTGGGAGAAAGGCATGCGAACATCGCCACTGGGGCCTTCAGTGGATCTCCCTATGGGGCCACGAAACGTTGTACTGGGCGGGGGAGATGCATGCGAACACCACCGCTGAGGCTCTCGGTGGAGCTCCTTATGCGTGAAACGCATGCGCACACCGCCACTAGGCCGTCCAGTTGAGCTCCCTCTGGTACCACAACGCTGTACTGGGTGGGGCAAACGCATGCGGACACCGCCACTACAGCCTTCGGTGGCCCACCAAGGGGCCACGAAGCGTTGTGCTGGGCGAGGGAAACGTATGCGAACCAAGAGGCGTGCCAAAGTGGACGGGGGGACATGCGAACGCGGCCACTGGGGCCTGCGGTGGAGCTCCCTGTGGGGCCACGAAACGTGTGATGTGTGCGCCAAAGTGGACAGAAGGCGGCATGTGAACGCAGGCACTGGGCCTTCGGTGGAGCCACCAGTCGGGCCACGGAACGTGTGAGGGGTGGGCCAAAGTGGACAGGAGGCGGCATGTGAACGCGGCCACTAGGGCCTTGGGTGGTGCTTCCTATCAGGCCACGTAGCGTTTGATGGGTGTGCCAAAGTGCCCTCCTCTGGCGCTCCAGAAGCTCCCCCCACATCCCTTTCTCAAAAAGGGGGGTGGGCTGAGCTACCCCCCCGCTCCTTTGGACCTCCCCTGCTGGAAGCATTCCCCTGCTTTTTTATGTATGCTCATCGGAAGCGACGCTCCTCATGCGAACGTCGTCACGAGGGAATGTGCTGGCTGAGGGAACCGCATCAAAACCATGCCACTGGGGCCGTCGGTGGAGTTCCCTGTGAGGCCACGAAACGTGTGAGGCATGTGCCAAAGTGGAGGGGAGGCATGCGAACGCAGCCACTGGGGCCTGCGGTGGAGCTCCCTGTGGGGCCACGAAACGTGTGACGGGTGTACCAAAATGAACCGAAGGCGGCATGTGAACGCAGCCACTCGGGCCCTCGGTGGAGCTCCCCAGGGAGCCCCGAAGCGTGTGAGGGGTGGGCCAAAGTGGACAGGAGGCGGCATGTGAACGCAGCCACTAGGGCCTTGAGTAGAGCTCCCTATGGGGCCACGAGTGTGAGGGATGTGCCACAGTCGACAGGGGGCGGCATGCGAACACTGAGCACAACCACTGGGGCCTACGGTTGAGCTCGCAATAGGGCCACGAACGTGTGAGGGGTGAGCCGAAGTGAACAGGGGGCGGCATGTGAACGCAGCCACTGGGGCCTTGGGTGGAGCGCGCTATAGGGTCACGAAACGTATGAGGAGCGTGCTAAAGTCAGGTGGTGACGGAACAAGGGAGGAGGGGGAGGAGGAGGAGAGGAGAGGAGGAGGAGGAGGAGGAGGAGGAGGAGGAGGAGGACACGTGGCACCGTCTCTTCAAAACGACGACTCAACACCACAGGATGGTCGGGAAAAAACAAATAGCTTTGAAGAGCCCCCCCTTTGGCAAACGAATATCAGCGACGACGAGGAGGGGGGGTGTTTCCGAAGCTCCCCCCCTTTGAAAGGGGAACCCGCGCTAACTTGGGGCTCCGGAACAAATGGAAGGAGGAAGACGCGAATCTCAGCTGCGAAAGGAAGGGGGGGAACTTCCGAAGACACCCCCCCTTTGAAAGGTAAGCCCGAGCTGGCCTTGGGCTCCGGGGTAGTTTTGAAGCCCCCCCCCCTGGCACGGCAATCTCAGCTGCGAAAAGGAAGGGGGGCAGCTTCCGAAGCCCCCCCCATTTGAAAGGGAAGCACAGGGTGACCTCCGGCCGCGACAAGGAGGGGGGGTAGCTTCTAAGCCCCCCCTTTAGCTAGGGCCACCCTGGCTCCGAAATGTCTACAAAAGGGAGGGAGGGGGGGTAGCTTCGGAAGCCCCCCCTTTCCCATTGGAGGGGGGGAAGCTTGAAACCGGGGGCCCACTTCTACTGAGAAGTGCACCGCAAGCGGGCTCCTCAGACTTCCTCACACCGTTTACGGGACGCGGCTCGGAGCTCCCAGCCGTGGCACGGACGGAAGACGGCTGCGTTTCAAGATTGAAGGGGCCCCAGGACACACAAATAAATACACACTAATAAAAAGATGCCCCATATTTTCCCATAGCTTCTGGGCTTTTGTCTTCCCCCTCACTTCCCATATTCTCCTATATCTTCCTGGGAATCGACGATGAATTGTGTCTGTGTGTTCTTTCCCCCCCCTGAAAGATTGAGTGCTCGCCTGGAACTTCCTTCAGATGTCTTTCTTACCGTAGCTGCCAACATGCTCAACCGTTGCACGGAGAGAGGGAAAAACGGGGTGGGGGGCCCATCGAAGGACACCCGAGGAGGAGGAGGAGGAGGAGGAGGAGGAGGAGGAGGAGGAGGAGGAGGCCTCCTTTTCAGAGCGAGGAGGACGGGGCCGTGCGAGGAGAGAGAGGAGTAGGAGGAAGGAGGGAAGGGGGGAGGAGGGGGAGGAGGAGGAGGAGGAGGAGGAGGAGGAGGAGGAGGAGCAGGAGGAGGCTCCTTTGCAGAGCGGGGCTCTCGCCCGAGGCGTCCTCCAGGACAGACACGAACAACAACTCTTTTTTTTGTTGTGCAGCGGGCGTCACACGGGTGCGTCCACGGAGTTCATGCCGCTCCCAAGCGTTCTCTCCTCCTCCTCCTCCTCCTCCTCCTCCTCTCCTCCTCCTCGTCCTCCTCCTCCTCCTCTCCTCTTCCTCCTCCTCCTCCTCCTCCTCCTCCTCCTCCTCCTCCTCCTCCTCCTCCTCCCCCTGCAACCTTTGCTGCCAAATCTCGCGTGGACTGCTGGCGAAGAGAGAGGAGACAGGGAGGGAGGCAGGGAGGGCAGACCAGACACGAACAGCCACTGTGTGCGCAGGTGCAGGGCGGTTTCGTCTCCAAGCGGTGCTCTCGCTGGACACGCCCTTGCACATAATGCCCCACATTGTTGTTTACCTCTGGCGTATTTGCACAAGCTCCGAGCACGGCTTTGGCAAAAACTGTCGAGGCAAATCCTGGCCGGCTTGAGCACCCCTTGGCGGACAACAAAAGCACAAACACTCTATTCCACTGGATTCGCCACGAGACTAAACCAGCAAGATGTCGTGCACACTTTCGACTCCAGGGAGGCGGAGAGGAAGGAGGATGTCGCGTTCCTTCGAGCTCGAAAGATGGAGGGCAACTCCTTTTCCATCCTTGGCGGCGCGCACCCCCAGGCCAGGGGGGGGAAGGCTCCCTCGAGGGAGGCTGATTCTCAGAAGACGCAGGCCCTACATCGCTGATTCCCATGGCTAACGTTCCAAATAATAACTTGTTGACACGATGCTCAAAGGAATGGTGTTCTGGCACGGTTCCGGATCGCCGAGACGCAACAGTAACTGTGATCCGCGGCGTTGACATCACAAAAGTGGTGTTCTGGCACAGGTCAGGATATTCAAACCGTCATCTTCCAACGGGGCACCTTCCTCCGTGAAGACGAACCCTTGTATGGAGCTTGTGAAGGAGGAACTTGGATGGTGGATTGCAATATCATGGGTACGTTTTGGGTTTACACTGGTCCTCCTCCCCCGCCTCCTCCTGCTCCTCCCTCCTCCTCCTCTTTTTATTATTAGTGTTCGTTTTCTTCTTAGTTGTTCATGTTTACTAGTATTGTGCTGATTCTCATCGTTATTATCATGATTCGTATTCTTATTATTGATACTAGTACTAGTGTATTTGTATTATTAGTATTGTTATTACTAGTATTACTATTTTTATTACTAGTAGTATTAGCATGATTATTATTATTATTATTATTATTATTATTATTATTAGTATTATTATTCTTATTATTAGTAGTAGTAGTAGTAGCAGTAGTAGTAGTAGTAGTAGTAGTAGTAGTAGGAGTAGTGATAGTAGTAGTAGTAGTAGTAGTAGTAGTAGTAGTAGTAGTAGTAGTAGTAGTAGTAGTGGTAGTAGTAGTAGTAGTAGTAGTAGTAGTAGTCGTAGTAGTAGTCGTAGCAGTAGTAGTAGTAGTAGTAGTAGTAGTAGTAGTAGTAGTACTAGTAGTAGTAGTAGTAGTAGTAGTAGTAGTAGTATCATTATTATTACTTTTCAGTATTAGGATTAATACTACTACTATTGATACTAATCCTGTTATGATAAGTATTAGTAGTAGTATTAGTGTTACTATGTTTACTATTAATACCACTATGTTCCTTATTATTCTTAATACTATTGTTAGTACATACTACATATTATTAATACTAGTATTACTAATATTGTTAATATTATTATTAGTAGTATTATTATGTTTTATTATTAGTATTACTATTATTCGTATTATTGTTATTGTTGTTATTAATGATACTAGTATTGTTATTACTATTATTATTATTATTGTTCCTCCTCCTCCTCCTCCTCCTCCTCCTCATCCTCGTCCTCATCCTTCCTCCTCCTCCTCTCCCTCCCCCTCCTCCTCCTCCTCCTCCTCCTCCTCCTCCTCCTCCTCCTCCTCCTCTTCCTCCTCCTCGCACGGCCCCGTCCTCCCAGCCGCACCCGCGTCCTGCGCACTTCTCTGGCACCGTGGCCGCGGACGGTCTCTTCCTGGGCGGCGCCCCCTCCGCGGCTGTGGAGGGCCTCCTCTTGGGCGCCATGCGGGTGACGCGCCCCGCCCTGCCAGAACGCCGTGCACTACCACGTGCGCCGGGCAGTCGAGCCAAAAACGGCTGTGGGCGGCGACCACGACGACAACTGCGCCGTCGGGGGCCAGGCAGCTCCACCAGGGAGCCCTCAAGAGGACGTGCGCACCCGAGCACGCGCGCGACCACGGCGGGCAGCGGGGCTCCTAGAAGAGAGGATCCTGCAGGAGAGGGCCCTGGAGGGGAAAGTCCTGGAGGAGGGGGTCGGGGTCATGAAGGAGAAAGCAATCTGCGTCGTGGTCCTGGACGAGAGGGCCCCCGGGGGTCCTGGAGTAGGGAGCAGGGAAACCACCCTCGTAACAAGCACCCCGGGAAGCCAGGTCGTTTAGCAAGCGCGCCCAGGGCAGGAATCGAGCCAGGCAAGGCTGTTTGGTAGATGCCTTGGGCCGCTTCGCAGAAACGCCAACCAGGAGAGGTCGGGGTGGTCTTCCCTCCCCTGGATGGCCGTGCTCGGCCTGCCGCGCTCTTGGCCTCCCTGGGCCCACCACGGGCCCCAGGGCCGTGCAGAGACTGCTCGTGATGAAGATTTTGACGGCCTGCCAGTCCACCTCAACCCAATTTTTGTTTGTTACCACGCGCGCGCAGAGCGAGCGAGCAAGCGCCCCGGCGGCGCCGTGCCCAGCTCAGGCGCGTGCACCGAATTAGGGGTGGAGGTGGGGGGCGACCGCCACACACGACCCGCACAGGGGAGTGCAGGACTGCGCGTGTGGCGGGCAGCAGCCTCCGCGAGGCCCCGCTGGGAGTGGAGAGCAAATCGGGGTCTTCGGGTTGGGTTGGGGTGGCGTGGTGGGTGGTGGGGATCGGCCTTAGGGGGAATCCCCGGGATCTAGGGCCCGTTTCTTCAGGTTACATTTTGAAAGCGACGACCACGACGACGACGGCGGTGACGTTGGCAAGCGACGGCTGTGGGAACTGGGGCGCGCACCTCGTCATGGGCACAGCCGCGCGTCCTCAAGATGTGCTGCCTGTCTCAAAGAATATGATCGCACCGATGCTACGATATCTCCTGGCGGATGCAGCTCCGCCTCCGTCGTCTTCGCCGGACCTGCGCTGGCTTTGACCGGCGTCCACCATCTGCTGACCAGGCTGATTATGATATCCTTAGGCTGGTCTTTCACATACCTTCACAATGCCTCCTCCTTACTGTTCAACCCTGGCAACACCCCTCGTCACCTCCTCCTCATCATCATCATCATAAGCATAAACATCATCATCCTCATCCTCATTCTCATCATCATCGTCATCATCAGAATCATCATCCTCATCATACTCATCATCACCGTCACCATCACCATCATCATCATCATCCTCCTCCTCCTCCTCGTCGTCATCATCATCATCATCCTCATCCTCATCCTCATCCTCGTCTTCGTCATCCTCCTCCCCCCCGCTCCTCCTCAGGGCCCTGCTCCTCCTCCCCCCCCTCCGGCCCCTGGAAAGCGGGGCACGGCTCCTCCCCGGCCATGTACTCGCCGAGCCGGCCGTTCCACGGCAGCCGGGCAAGGTTGACGCCGGGGCCCAGCTGGCCGCGGTTGGCACCGCCGAACTCCTGGGGTCAGGGGGGGGAGGGAGAAGCCGCGAGGGAGAGCCAACAGGGAGGAGGAGGAGGAGGAGGAGGAGGAAGGAGGAGGAGGAGGAGGAGGAGGAGGAGTGGAGGAGGAGGAGGGGCAGGAGGAGGGGGAGGAGGAGGAGGAGGAGGAGGATGAGGAGGAGGTAGGAGGAGGAGGAGGAGGAGGAGAGGAGCAGGAGGAGGAGGAGGAGGAGGAGAGGGAGGAGGAGGAGGAGGAGGAGGAGGAGGAGGAGGAGGAGGAGGAGGAGGAGGAGGAACATGGAGGAGGAAGCCGCGTGCCCGAAGGACTCGGGCGGCAGCCAGCGCGGTGCCCCGCCCGCAGGAGGGCGCCCGGGTGCCCGAACAAGATCACCTGCTTCTGCATACCATCTCCATTCGCCTCGTACCTGCTTCCTGTCCCACACCTCTCAGGTGCGAGGACCACCACGACTTCCACACCAGCACGCAGCACCACCACGACTTCCACCTGGGAGCCGGCGTGGCACGGAAGCGAGCGTCGAGAGCGAGCAACAGCAGGCACGCTACTCGAAGTTGCAGCTGCACAGCGCTCAGCAGCCACCGCGACATTCACCAACAGGATCCAACATCGAGCCGTACGCCGAGCAGGGGCCCACCTACACAGGAGAGTCCAGGATCGAATCGACAAATCGGAACGGCGATCGACATGAACCGGATCGGCGGCAAGCGGCAGCGGAGTGGGAAAAAGTCGAATCGGCGGAAATCGGCAGGCTTGTATGCTTCCAGTGAGAAATCCGAACCCAAATCGGAATCCCAAGGCAAATCGAATCGGAATCGGAATCCATCGAACTCGAATCGAATCGAATCGGGGAAACCGAAACGAGCCCTGCCTGCACGGTCCACTACACCTGCGATCGACGCAGCATTGGATAGGTGGAGAGACGACCAATGGACGGCACAGTGGGCAGCCCAACACCCCGACGGCTGCTGGAGCGAGGGTGCCAATGGCGAGGGCAAGGGCACGAAACGGCAAGGGCAAGGACAGCTTCCCCACGCCGCACTAGGATCACACTGGGGACAACGGCACACCACAGAATCCTCCTCCTCCTCCTCCTCCTCCTCCTCAGCAACAGCCCCAACATGAGGAGGAGGCCCCTGCAAAGAAGAAGCAGCGCGAAGCCAACCAGAGCTGCAACTACCACCTCGCCAGCACCATCAACAACGTCATGCCCATGCGCGAGGCCTGCGCTGCCAGCAGGCCCGACTGGGAGGCACCACCAAACGACACCAAGCTCAAAGAGGCTTGGAACCACCCAACGGCACCGGCACCACCAAACGACACCCCGCCCTCCCCCTCAAAAACCGTGGGGGGTAGGGCAAAGCAGGGCTAAGATCGGGATAAATCGCTCCAGAGCGTTCCGGAGCGCTCTCAGAGCGTTCCGGAGCGCTCTGGAGCGGCCGCGGCGCCCAATACATCCTCCAAACCCGCCGCTTCTCAGAGATTTCGAGTTCTCCCGACCCGATTTTGTCCCGATCCTCGCGTCGTTTTATAGGGGTAGGGTTCGCGTGCGGCCCCCGCATCGGTCCTCCGGCCCCGGCTCCGCTCTGCCAGGGTGGCGTCCCGAGCCCTCCTTCCCCCCCGTGCCCTCCCCATGGGGGGGGCACCGTGCGCATGGCGCCGCCCACCGGGCTGTGTTCCCTCCGCTGTGGACAGGCCGCGCCCTGCTGTGCGGCAGCTCGTGGGCAGTCGTGGAGGTCGGCATGCAAGAATCAAGGGGCCCCAGGACACACAGATGAATACACACAAACAAAAAGAGTCCCCACATTGTCCCATATTTTCTGGGCTTCTGTCTTCCCCCCCACCTCCCGTAGTTTCCCATATTGTCCTGGGAATCGGCGATTCATTGTGTCTGGGTGCTTTTGTTCCCCTCCTGACAGGGTGGCGCCTGGCCCTCCTCTCTCCCGTGCCCTCCCCAGGGGCTATTGGTCTCTTCACCGGCCAAGTGGGACCCTTCACCGGCCAGATGGGACCCTTCACCAGCTGATCCGTTCACCGGCTGATTGGGTGTTTCACCGGCTACGTCATTCAATTGAAAGTTGATTGTAGCGTTCGCGTGTACGCCACCAAAAACGAGCGTGGAGTGCTAAGGGTTGCCACAACCACTTCTGAAATTAATTGTTTTTTGTTCCCCATATCCTAAGGATTGGGGTTCTTGTTCCCCATATCCTAAGGATTGGGGTTCTTGTTATTACTCTGACGCCTCCCACTCCTCCTCCTCCTCCTTCTTCCTCCCGCTCGCGCCTCCCTCCTCCCAATGATAATCACCAGATAAGACAAGACAAGATAAGATACTACAAGATAAGAGAACCTAGCAAAAATATGAATAAGAAGAGTTTCAAGATATGATAGATAAGTTAAGCTCATCACTCACACTCTCTCATGATCACAAAACGCTGCCAGGGGCATCATTTGGGAGCCCCAAGGGGGAGCCACCCTGTCTGATCTCTCGAGCCCGTTCGCGCCGATTTTGGTGGGACGTCTCAGCTAGAATTGCCGTTTGGCGCCCCCAACATGTATCTCTTGAGAGCCTCATGGTCGCAAAACGCTGCCATGGGCATCATTTGGGAGCCCCAAGGGGGAGCCACCCTGGCTGATCTCACGAGCCCGTTCGCGCCGATGTTGGTGGGACGCCTCAGCTAGAATTGCCGTTTGGCGCCCCCAACATGTATCTCTTGAGAGCCTCATGGTCACAAAACGCTGCCAGGGGCATCATTTGAGAGCCCCAAGGGGGAGCCACCCTGGCTGATCTCACGAGCCCGTTCGCGCCGATTTTGGTGGGACGCCTCAGCTAGAATTGCCGCTTGGCCTCCCCAACATGTATCTCTTGAGAGCCTCATGGTCACAAAACGCTGCCAGGGGCATCATTGGGGAGCCCCAAGGGGGAGCCACCCTGGCTGATCTCACGAGCCCGTTCGCGCCGATTTTGGTGGGACGCCTCAGCTAGAATTGCCGTTTGGCGTCCCCAACATGTATCTCTTGAGAGCCTCATGGTCACAAAACGCTGCCAGGGGCATCATTGGGAGCCCCAAGGGGGAGCCACCCTGGCTGATCTCACGAGCCCGTTCGCGCCGATTTTGGTGGGACGTCTCAGCTAGAATTGCCGTTTGGCGGCCCCAACATGTATCTCTTGAGAGCCTCATGGTCACAAAACGCTGCCAGGGGCATCATTTGGGAGCCCCAAGGGGGAGCCACCCTGGCTGATCTCACGAGCCCGTTCGCGCCGATTTTGGTGGGACGTCTCAGCTAAAATTGCCGTTTGGCCTCCCCAACATGTCTCTCTTGAGAGCCTCATGGTCACAAAAAGCTGCCAGGGGCATCATTTGGGAGCCCCAAGGGGGAGCCACCCTGGCTGATCTCACGAGCCCGTTCGCGCCGATTTTGGTGGGACGTCTCAGCTAGAATTGCCGTTTTGGCGCCCCCAACATGTATCTCTTGAGAGCCTCATGGTCACAAAACGCTGCCAGGGGCATCATTTGGGAGCCCCAAGGGGGAGCCACCCTGGCTGATCTCACGAGCCCGTGACGA